TATTTAAAATGATAAGGATTAATACCGTATTTGTGTAAATAGCTTTTACATTACCGCTTTATAATTGCCAATTTTTTAAAGTATTAAAATGGATATAGGTAGTATGTTATCTTTAACAGATAGACATATGCCATCGCGGACTTTTCTGTAGACCTATATAAGATACACAATTCCACCATACATTATTTTGTTATATCTCAAAGGGTTTAGGCAGCGTTTTCGTTGAAAGCTCCCAGACAGCTTATTTTTTTCCGACACCTCCAACAAATATCGTTAATGTATGCAAAAACTTAACAAATTATATACTAAAACCTTCCTCGAGAACCACTCTATCCATTGGTGAAAACAGCATGAAAATCGGTGCAGTAGTTTTTGAGTTTATCGCGAACAAACAGACAGACAGACGCGGCGGAGGACTTTGTTTTATAATATGTAGTAATTTATCTGTATTATTAAATATTCAAGAAGACCGTAAGTTTAGCTAATAATGCAAGAAAATATGTTGAAGTTTTTGTGTGATTTGCAAGATAAATTGTTCTATTAAAAATAAGGGTATTTCATACTCAAAACTTGTATATACTATACAAATAACTCAGAATCAATGTTCAGAAATCAGAGAACTGTCAAAATATTGTAAATAGAGGAATAGTATCTTATTTAAAATAAAACGCATTTCAGATTGAAGATATTATTGCCATCTTGCGGAAACCATAAGAAATAGAGAGACAGTTGAAAACAATTTATTTATGAAACAATTTTATTGTTTCCCGGATTATTTAAGAAAATGGAAAGGCTCATATCCTGAAGGACATTTTCGCGACTCTATTCGAATGCTGAATCAGGTTTCCAGTGCAACGTTTCGTTTTTCTGCAATCATCCTCAACTTAATTCTTTAATAAGAAGCATGCCGTATATTTTTTATTTTATTTTTAAAATAAATTGTATATTTGTATTTCAGGTACATCCGGCTAACGGTGGCAATAGATGTCCCAAAAATCTATCGAAGGTACAAGATTGTGAGATACGTTGTCCATCTTCTGTCGAATCACAGGAATGCGTAATGAGCGAGTGGTCCAGCTGGACCCCATGTACCACGAATTGTGGCGATTCTGCTGTACAGATTAGGACCAGGCAGATTGTCACTCAACCTCCAGGAGTGAAGAGCTGCCCCCCAAGGAAAGAAAGGAAACAGTGCCATCTACCTCTAGCTTGTACTAAGGACGGACAGCCTATTCTTAATGGATAAAGCTCGTTATAACCGCATTATCTAAGTCGTTATACAGCAAAGCAGTGGCGGCTCGTCGGGTGACGCAAGTGACGCACCGCTTCACCTAAAATTTCTGTTTGGTTGTGCAATTTAAAATTATTTTTATTTTTATATAAATTTTATAATTTATGTATAATTCTATATTGAAAATGTATTGTGTATTGTGTTTGTTTGTTTAATACGCAGAAATAAACAGAATAGTTGCGCGGTGAACGCCTTCTAAAAAAACATTGCCTTCGTTGAGCGCGAACATCAACCTCGTACCGTACAACGTATAGTATACGCAAGTGACTCATATTGAAATTGGTATGTATCTGCTTCTCTCCGTAGCGGTTGTCATGGCAACGAGGCAGCCAACGCATGTGTAAACTACGGCGTGGGAGAACGAGTGATGCAAAAGTTGAAGCAGCATTGTATTAATCTATGAAGCAGCATTCTTATCGTCATCGCCTATGGTCATCGCCCATCGCCTGTCTATCGTGTTTAAACGTTTAAACATATACGATACGTTGCCCAGTGCACGGTTATAACGGTTCTTTATTAATATTTGTTTTGTACCAGTAATTTGTAGAAATGTTTCCTATGCGCGGTCCTGTATGTATTTTATTGGAAATGACATTTTCCAGATGGAAAATTGAGGATAAAAAAATTTTTTTAAATTGCGAAAGACCTGTCTCTCGATGTGGAAAAAAGGGGGAGGTCAAAAGACAAAGTGTATGTTCGGAAGTTTCGGAATGAATGGTATTCGGAGTGTGGACACAATGAATCGGAGTGTTCCGACAATCGTTAAATACAAATTAAAAATACCCAGAAACGTTTAAATGAAAAAAGAAACGAGATGAATTTTAAAGAAATATTTGAATTAGGAAGCATAAAAGTAACAGTACCAGTTAATTATCGTGATGGACGAAAAACTTTGACAGTTCCTAAACATTTTTTTTATATGGCGAATTCGCCGCTTAACATCTGTATCTGTAGGTACCTATCATTAAGTCCACGAGCCGAACCAATAGTTCTATTTTTTATAAAATCTAAATGAAAATCCTTCTCGCCAACGTCAGTTTTTCGGTAATATTGCAAATGCNATGAATCGGAGTGTTCCGACAATCGTTAAACACAAATTAAAAATACCCAGAAACATTTAAATGAAAAAAGAAACGAGATGAATTTTAAAGAAATATTTGAATTAGGAAGCATAAAAGTGCCAGTACCAGTTAATTATCGTGATGGACGAAAAACTTTGACAGTTCCTAAACATTTTTTTTATATGGCGAATTCGCCGCTTAACATCTGTATCTGTACCTATCATTATAAGTCCACGAGCCGAACCAATAGTTCTATTTTTTATAAAATCTAAATGAAAATCCTTCTCGCCAATGTCAGTTTTTCGGTAATATAGCAAATGCAACTAAAATTTCCAGATTCATTTAAAGCCGTTTAACATTGAAAACTTGAAAATTTTCGCCTGCGGCGGTATTTGTTTCGTCAATCGATAAATATGCTTCACCTATTTTCAATGTCACGAGCCGCCACTGCAGCAAAGCTACTATAACCTGATTAATACTAGTATTTGTACTGCTAAGACAATTATTTTTAAAATATTCTATATATAACTTTTGCTACCTACATGAAATGTTTATTAACAAAATAATAAAAATATCGCACGTTTCCATTTGCACATTTAAACAAACACAATAATTATTTAAAATTATATTACTTTACAAAAATTTGGCCAAACTCCAATTAATTAAATTAGTAAATTTCCGCTTTTTATTTATTGTTTGTGTCATATTTTAAGTAACACAACTTTGAGAACGAAATCAGGCTGATTTTCGAAACATAAACTAAGCTAGTGAATTGATATACCTATTCGGTTGGAGAAAAGTAATGTCTGTTTCTTTTTTCATATTTAGGATATTTTATTTTTAACTCTACAATAATTATTATCAATAGGTTAATCAGTGATATATTCTCCATCATTATTTATGACCTCTTCCCAACGTTCAACAAGTTTCACGATAATTCTTCTGTAGAAATCCTCCTGTTTTGACTCGAAATACTCATCCAACCAAACTCTTAACTCGTTATTGTTAAAAGAAACACTGCCTAAGGAGTTTGACAAAGAGGGGAAGAGGTGAAAATCAGAACGAGATCGCGAGAGTAAGGTGGGTGGGGAAGAACTTCCCAATTCAATTCCCGAATGGCCATTTTGGTCATATTGGCGGTATGTGGGCGCGCACTGTCATGCTGCAAAAGAACATCGTATCGCCAGGTCTTTTTTGGACATGGAGTTTTGCATTGATGGTTTGATTGTTTAGTAAAAATTCGTAACAAAGAATCCTTTCCAGTTCCACCAGACGCACAACATTCATCTTTCGATGATGAAGTTCTGGTCTTATTCGCTTGTTTTTTGAGACTTAACCATTCTTTCCGCTGTTTCAAGTTCACGTATAGACACTATTCATCACTAGTAACAATATGATGAGAAAACTGTTCCTCATTACCATGACGACAGAGCAAACCAGCGGTAATCGCATGATTCTTATTGTTTTCATTCAAAACACATCAGACCCAAGCGCCGAGTCTTTGAACTTTTCCCATCGGATGCAGGTGATTTACTACTGTGTTGTCATCACATCCCATCTCCTGAGCCAATTCTTTTGTTAATTGTCTTGGATTTTCGTGAGGGAGTCGATTCAATTGTTCTTCGTCAAATTCAACAGGTCATCTGGAACGATTCATTTCTTTAAAAGTTGAATTCACCTCCTTTAAAACGCGAAAACCATCGATAGGCCGTTCATTCATTCATCGTATTATCACCATATTACGGCACAATTTTCCCGAGCAGCTTTAGCGGCTTCAGCGTTTTTCCCGTATCGATTGAAAACAAAAAAACAAAAGACGAAAATTATCAATTTTATCAACTTGATACTTATTCCATTTGAAAAGAATAAAAATTCACAAAAATTAAATCTATACGAAGCAATCAAAACACACTGATAGAGCAATAAGTCCTCTTTCGAATGACATGTGTCAATTTGACAATGCGTTTAATTTTCACGTGAATTTTAATTTTGAAAAAAACGGACGTTACTTATCCCCCAACCCATTAGTAATATGTACTTTCCATCTGTATTCATCTACTTGTTTCCAGTCAAATTCCTTATAGATGATGATTCTTTATATATAGATATACAGGGTGATTCAGTCATAATGTCATTAATTTTAATCACGTATTCGGAAGGCTTAATAAAGACAGAAAATCGGAAAAAAAATTTTTTACTCGACTTTTAAAAATGAAGGAAATCAACCCATAACTCCCGCTACGAGGGCTGCCCTGCCGATGCCCGGATGCTCGGAAAATTTTGTAACGTAATGTCACGAACAGTTGTCGGCTAAAGGAACAGCGTTGCCAAGTTCAGGTTCAAGCTCGCCAGGTTAGTATTTGACATATAACCGACCACTTCGTACACTCGATGCACCTGGGCGACTACAGCTACTACGAAAACAGCCGGTATTTTAGATTTTAAATTAAATTTGTTGATACGATTTTCCTTTGATAAAAGACCGACAACTTTTTGCTACTACACTCGTATTAGTCTAGGGGCTAGGGGCCAGATAGGTTTCCGTAGCCAAACAGAATTCCACGGCTGCAAATAACTTATTTTTAAGTATTTTGACTTCTCGAAACCAAAAAACTTGGTGGCAAAGCCTGAAAGTGGTCAGTTTAATTGTTGTTAACAAATTGAATGTTTAAATGGCTGTAAAAAGTTTATTTTTATAGCTAGTACAATTTTTTATCTGTTAATTATTACGTTTTCTCACAACAAACATATATTTTTTTGAAAATTAAAAAAAGATTAACTTTAACCAAAGTTATTGCAAATTTAGTGCAAATATATTACATTTTCCGTCTCTGCGCGCACCAATTTTACCATATCTCTGGTTCAATTGGACGGATTGAGACGCACATCTCATTTTAAAACTTAAACTTTATTTTACAAGATAGGTAAGTTCCATTGATTAATTAATTTATTTAAAAATTAATGGCAGCTTAGAAAGTTGTGGAATTTCAACGAAAATGTTGGCTTTATTGGTTTATAAAACTTTTTTTGTTATTCAATTTTTATGAAAAGCCAAAAAAGTTACCGGTTATTGTTCCTCGCATCCTAACAATGATTTCATGCCTTGCTTGATTGTTAGAATGCAAAGAACAATATCCGGTAACTTTTTTGGCTTTTCGTCGAAGTTGAATAATAAAAAAAACCTTATAAACAATTAAAACCGGCATTTTCGTTGAAATTTCACAACTTTCTAAGATGCCATTAATTATTAAATAAATTAATAAATAAATGGAACTTAGAACCAGATATGGTAAAATTAGTGCGCACGGAGACGGAAAATGTAAGAAATTTGCACTAAATTTGCAATAACTTTGGTTAAAGTTAATTTTTTTTAATTTCCAAAAAAATACATATTTGTTATGAGAAAACGTAACTATTAGCGAATAAATTGTACTAGCTATAAAAATAAACTTTTTACAGCCATTTAAACATTTAATTTGTTGATAACAATTAAACTGACCACTTTCAGGCTTTGCGACCAAGTTTCTTTGGATTCAAGAGGTCAAATATTTAAGAATAAGTTGTTTGCACATCTGGCTCCTGGACTATATGGTGCACGTGTGCAAATTAAAACTGGGTTAAAAGGTTACTGAACCACAGGTTACCCTAGGTCGGAAACACGACGTACCGAGTTGTTTATTTGTCTCCGTCCCATTGTTTTTTTATGGAATATACAAGTCTCTCTTCTAATTGCAGTCAATATTTAAATACTGCATACAATTTATCCTCTCTTTATAATTTATCTAGTGAGTGTTGGTTTTTTATGACATTATTTCTGTAACGAAATTGAAATGGTTATGAAATGAAATTTAAATTATTTGAACTTTTGGGGTTTTGTAACTTCAATATTAAATCTTATTTAAAGTGAAACAGCTAATTTCTTTGCAGCCATAATAGTCACATTTGGTCAGATGAAACACACTACTACCCGCACACTACTCGTCGGTGGTATAGCTTTCAGAGGAG